CTGAAGTACAAAAAGTAAACCAATTTTTACAAGTCACAAACTGACAAGTTATCATACAACAAAGGTCAAGGTGAGGAGGGGCTGTGCTGTGAGAGTGAGCTGTAGTCAGAATATGAAGTACAGAGTTCAGGACTGGAAAGGAGGAAAATGAACTGCCTGGGAGGGAGTGGAGGCCACAATGAGGACGAAAGAGTTGTTCCTTCAGGTATGATGGGAAACAGATTCTTCACTCAACCATCACTAAGCACAGAGTTTACGAATTAGATAGTTCTGAATGGTGACAAGGTAAAAGAACACAGTCATTCCCACCGCTGCCATTGAGGGGTGAAGGTGACTGGATTTAGTGAACTGTAGTTCCAAATGTGGCCTTTCTGGTCAGAAATGAATATAATTGTTACCCCAACCTCTAGGCTTTCTTCAGCTACAACTACATCCTTTCTAGCATGTGAGAAATTTGACTGGCACTTAACTTCTCCGTACTTTAGCTGCAAAACACAGAGAATAAGGTGTTGGAAGATTGAATTAAAACAATATTCCTCAACCCCAGTGGCATATTTTTTACAAAGAAGAAAAGAGCAAAATTATCTATGCCTTGACCTCAAAGTCAGTAATTCTGATTTATTTGTCCTAGGTATCAGTTCTTTCAATGGCCTTCAGGCTTCAGTATTTCAAGTTTCTCAGGGAATTCTAGTGTGCAGCCAAAATTGAGAGTCAACATGTTTGTAAAGGTTGCTTTTCTTTTGAAATTTTAAGGTTCTATAATTCTATATAATTTACCATCACTCTGACAGTGAACTTACTCAAGATCATGAACCAGGTACTTCCCAAACATCTCAGTAAATGCTCACAGCACTGTGAAGCAAATATTTCTGTGTCCATTTCACAAATAAGTCCAGTGTGAGATGTGAAGCAAGTTATTCAAGAATCAGAAGTTAATAAGCAGCTCAGTTAGCATTCAGGACTTTTGTTTTTGTTCACCTTCTATGAACTTGCTTTCTCTAACACAGAAACTACTTGAATGCCTTCTGTTTTCTCCCCAAAAGCTCCCAAATTGAGTGTGCCATGGTGTTTGTGTAGTTTATGGATTGACTTATGAGACAATTATATTGTTGGTAAGAGTAAAGAATTAAGCCCAAATACAACAGTAGTTTCATTACTGAATCCCTTCACCTGGAGAGGTTTTGCAACTTGAATTAACACTCTGAAAGTATATCTATGAAGCATATTTTATTCAGAGGATCCAACACACACAGCATTAAGCATGCAGGTAGTATACTAAGCAGGTTCTCAAAGATTAACTTATCAATAGAAAAGCAATTTTAATAAGCTATTTATTAAGCAATGCCAAAATAAAATAAATATGACCTTCAAAAGGTTCAGGGGTTAACTCGATTTCCATCCAATACAAATAGCTGCAACTGAATTTTAAAATTATGATCATTACCCGTTTTGCTGATCTACAACTTTTTTGTTGATTATACTTTAGTCCATTATCTATTTGAAAATTTCATGAAAGGTTCAACTTCTGTATCCCCAAGGCTAAAATTCACCCAAGCTGCTGGAAGTAAATTACCACTACCACCACCTCCCCAAAAAAGGATTAAAGAAGATTTAATGACTATGCTCGAGGAAATTGCAATTTAATAAAACATTCATCAACTATATTTACAAAGAACATATATGTACTCATCCATTCAAACCTTTCCTGAGCATCTGCTATGTTCCTGGCACACTGCCGACAGAGAGGCATATGACTCTGTGATAGGAGGCCTGCTGTCAAGTTTACCATGGGATAAGTGAATTACTTTTGGGGCAAAAAATGAAGGCCAGGTAAGAACAGGGCAGGAAAGGCTTCACAGAGCACAGGCTTGACTATTTTAAAAGAAAAAACTTCAGCATAAGCACCCTTTCAAATCAACTTTTTACGTACTCAGGAACTAAATTAGAATCTGAAGGAGCATCAAAAACAGGCAGCAAAGTGGACAGAGAATACTCCACAGGAATGTTATTTATCTTTTGAAGTTACACTATAGGAAAAATGAGAAGGCTTCTGAGTCCCAAAACCTCAGCTAAAAAAGTTAAAAGATTTGTGAAGTTAGTTAAGCCATCTCATGTTTGGGTAACTCTTAATCCAGAAAAACAAGCATGTACAATGAATGGCATTTGACAAGGAAGTAACATAAAAGTGTTTCTTTTTTAAAGAAATCTATGGAAATTATCACATCTAAGCAAATAGTTTTACCTATAGATTAGAAAGAGAAATTCTCCAAGACATGATTTAAGGTTTATCTTATTTGTGGCTGAGTCTTTTCAACTCGTTAAACAGGATTTTAAAGCTAAGATGCTTTTAATTAAATTATTTTTGTTAATTTACTGCGGTCATTCAAGCTGAATCTTTTTTGATGAGTTGGTCAGTAAAAGAGGTGTGTGTGTTGTTTTTTTTTTTTTTTGAAGCGATTACATGGGCTTTCCAAATAAGTAACTTAATACCATTCACCTCCAATGCTGTCAGAGGACCAGAAGAGATTAAAAATAGAAGCCTTCGTTAATACGGAATTAACCTGAGGACCCCGGGAGCTACTAGGGTACAGAAAAAGGTAAATGTTCAAAACATGGCAGGCATGCATCTTAAGAAACCAAAGAGAAGGAGAAAAAAAATAACTCGGCAATGTCAAGAACACTTCACCTTATGCTTGAGAGAACAACACATGCCTGTAAGTCTCCCAGTCAACGTTCACGTCTAAAGCTTTCCTTAATGAGTCTCTCCAGTAATGTACTAAGATACAACAAAGCAAGTATTTGTCCACGTACAGACTGGGTGAGTCTATGAATTACAGACAACAGCTTCGTTTTCTGTGTCCTTAATACTAACTCATTTCCATCGCAAACATCCAAGTTACTGCTGCAAGGTACTGGGCACACGAGGGTACTGAAGCAATGGCAGTGGCCGTTTCTCGGCCTTCAGGGCACTTTCAAAAGAAAAAATAAACTCGGCCACCGACCGTCCAGCTTTAAACGAGTCCGAATAAATCATGTTTCTCAGAACAAATCCACGGTGCCGTGCTTTGCCCCAAATCAACAGAAAAACATACTGCTCAAGTTGCAATATCCCTAATGCCCAGACCCTGCAAACTTTTGGTCTGGAAAGATGTGGGGGCCTTAAGAGGCCACTGGTCACGATTGGGACTTCAATCCTCATGCCCCACAACTTCCAACCCGACCTCGGGGCTCCCTTCTCGGTTCCGCCCGGTCCCCGCCCCGCGAACCCGAGGACTGGACACGCACCGGCGCGGCCCCTCCGGGCG